CCCCAAAACCCCAAAACCCCAAAACCCCAAAACCCCAAAACCCCAAAACCCCATAAACTTTCGAGCAATTGAACTTATTTAAGCAAAGAAATTAATAACATTTACTATAATATTATCTATCATGATGGTAAGGAACATATGATTCCTCGGTTTTACTTGGCTAAAGCTCTTATAGCAGAAAGATCACAGAACAAGTATGCTGTTTTCCCATGAAGGTGAGTAAATAGAACTTGAAACTGCGTTAGAAGACTAGATAATAACTCATCCCTACTAGCTTCTTGTTTCGGGTTAGTATTCACTATGTATCTTTTCAAATGCTCAGATTTTTATAGAATCCCTAAAATTCAGCAAATATTCGAAAGAAAATTCATTGAGGCTCAGAAAAATCATTGGCAAGAAGTCAAAGAGAGGACACTTAAAAGGACAAATTAACAATAGGTAAGGGATTAAGTATTTTATAAATATGATGCCTTATCCTTCGCTTAATGTTTTTGTTGCAAAGTTATTTGAAAATATCTCCAATTCAAGTAATCTCAGTTCAACATCCCTTTCCCATCATTCATTTCCATTCTGGCTACCCAAAAGAGCCAAACCAAAGTTTCATTCCAAGTGAAATTTTTCAGTAAAAAGATTCATTAATAAAAATGAGACAGGATACATGCTTGAGCGTTTATGCTCACTCCTTTGCTGAACCATGATAATTTTTGCATTCAAAATCTTCTCTTCCACCTAAGGTATTCTAATAACCACCATAGTAACCAAAGCTTTATGAATAAATACAACATTGATTACAAAGATCCGTATCCTGGCGATAGTACACTTATCAAAAACCTGGAATCTTTTAAATACATTCCAGATACTGATACTCTTGAGAAGCTAAAGTACTATTATGGGGCTTATAACCAAATAAAAGGATTCAGAAAGCACATGGTTTTTACAAATAAGAAAGAAGAACTGGACACCAATATGTGGGATCCAGTCTCACGCTGAATTCTTTACCAAAAAGGAGGAGTGCTCAAGAAGATTTCTGACCCCGTTTATGTTGACATTAAGGATGCTCAGGAAGAGGAAGTTGAGAAACCTAAAAAGAAAAGAAATATGAGATTAAGGAGTAAAATTTCAAAACTTTACTATATCCAAAAGCGAAAGATGCAACTGGGTAGAAACAAGGCAAGTAAAATGTTCTCCTCAATGGAGAGAGGGAACCATATGTCAAGCTTAAATGTTCCTTCATCCTCTCTGGGCCATCCAGCAATTTTCCCTCCTCGAAGAAGGAATGAATCTTTATTGACACCTGTAAGAGCATCAAATAACAAGCTTAACAGAGATTTATGTTTCTCGAGTGCAGTAAATATGCTTAACAAGAATGATGACAGCTTTACAAGATCGAGCACAGGCTCTTCAAACGCTACAAACTTCAAGAACCACCTGACTGTTACAAGGGATAAATTCCAAGGGAACTCGCCAACTAGAAGCACTGGAGTAGGAAGTAGTAAAAATATTGATATCACAGATTTTAATTCTACAGGTAAACCAGATTAGTTTTTGGCAATGAGTAACAAATTCATATAGACCCTGTAGCTAGGGCTTGCCTTAAGTCAGTTGCTTCAAGAAGGAAGAAGTCTAAGAAAGTGAGAAAAAGTACTTATGACCAAATGGACTTGCTGTACACCTCCCATGGATTGAGATCCCCTCCATCAAAGAGCTCCATGAAGCCTACTAAACTTGAATCTTTCACCAAGAAGTACCCTGGCAAAGAAGGCTCATTTTTCCTACCTGGTTTAGAAGAGGAAGTCCTGTGAAGCCGAGACTCCTTCTTCGAGACTACTGAAAAGAAGAATAAACCTGGAAATAATATAAAGCTAAGGCTGAAACTGAGAGCAGAGAAGGATGAAAGTCTCAGGAAGCTGTCTAGCACCTCTAACGTATCACCCAGGGAGATCCTCAGCATCCCTGACATAGACTAGGAGCCCATATCCTTGATAATATTATTTTATGTATCCTTTCTTACTAGTCTGCAATTTATGTAGCAAAATAGGGGTTTTGGGGTTTTGGGGTTTTGGGGTTTTGGGG